AACAAGTAAACTCATGGATACAAGGTGAAATTAAATTCATGAAGGTTCTAAGACAACAAAATAGGGAAAGGGTAGTCTCTTCAACAATCAGTAGGGTGGAAATTTAACCTACAGAAAAATTGCAAAGCATATATCACATTAGGAGCTCATACTCAAAATATATCAGAAAATTCCATGGCTCAAATGCAAAACAAACTAAAAAATAAAAGGTAAATAAATGAGCTGAGGAGTGTGCAAAGATGGTGATCAAAACCATCTGGAGCTTTGGTCTGGAGGGAGTAGTGGGTTCGAAGGGGAGCAGTCACCCCAGGTCCTGCTACTCTGAGTCTCTGACCTGGGTCTGGTCAGTCCCAGGAGACCAGGTCAGCAGGGCTGTGAGAGCAAATGTGTAAAGAAAGCCAGCAGCCCCTTCACAGTCTCAAGAATCTGTGGCCATGCTGGTCTCTAGGGGCAGCTGGACATGGACTGCTTTCACATGGAAGCACCTTCAACACAGCATCCTTGGGAGGGGGTGTTGCTGAGACAAGGTTCAGGAGACTCAGCCCAGGCAGGGATGCCACAGCATGTGTGCTCTGACTCATTAAACCCTGAGAGCACCCTTCATACAAGGAACAAACAGTGAGGACAAACATGAGGGGAAACCACAAGTCCTGAAAATGCAGAGGGAGAGGGTTCACGTCTCACCCACTACCTGACACTCACTGCCAGAACTTGGTCTCCAGTGTCAAGTGACTGTGAGAATTTTGTGCCCACAAGGATGTGGCCATCATAGGAGAATTTAAACATGAAGCCAAAGTTCCTCGTACATAAAATCCTGCAGGTACTAACCAGAAGCCAAGCTTTCACATTCAGCAGTGAAAGGACAAGGAAAGAGTAGTCTTGTCATAAAGGACATTTTTACATGGACAAGCAAAAAGAGATGTATTTAAGCACAGCACAATACAGCACACGATCACATGGGTCTATAAAATCATTAAAATATGAAAAGAACAAATCAAAATTCTACACATATTTCTTCCTTCTACTTCCTCAGTTTATATTCACCTTCCTTCATCTCCAAAGAGTTAAGTGTAACCCAAGTGGTCCTGGAACCCTCTCCCTGTTAATCCCACCTGAGAGTTGTTCCTTACCTGTGTTCTCTTCTGCATCAGTGCTGCTAACAGCTTCCAGCAAGCAGTCTGCAGAAAGACAACCATGAGCAATAATACAGTTATTATACAAGTTGACCCACGCATTTCTCCTCCTCCACTTGGCTCACACAGCATCTCCCCGGTCTTTCCTCCAGGTTCACAGACCTCCCCTTTGTTTGTGGAGTCAGAGCCCTTCAACAAGATGTTGATCCCAGTTGCAAAATTTCATATGAGAGAGAGATGCTGAGAGAAACACATTTTAACCTTACACTTCTACAGGCCGAATATAACTCTTACATTCTAGCTTACAAAGCTGAAATTGCAACACTTAGGGACACACTTGAAATATGGCTACTGTGATCAACAAATGTGTATTTTTTTGTGATTTTAAAAAATATGTTAATTATTTTTTGAAATATGTTAATTATAGATAGGGAGATCTGACTAGTGGCTACTACACTGGAAAGTTCAGCTCTCCTAGCTCCAATGAAAAGGAAAAGGCAACTAATTGCCTCTTCAGGTTTTTCTCTGTTGTAGACAATTTGATGCCCTGATGAGATCAGTCATATGTAGGTATACCTGGGGCACCTGAACCTAGGCCAGGCATTGGGAGTGTGCTTGTGAACATCCCAATAGTAAGGTGAACACTCAGCTTCAAAGAAAATTCCCAGTAGGGGGCTCACTTGTAGGCAGTGGTGAAGGGCATGGCCCAGAGCTCCTGTACAAGTAACCAGAGAGTAGGTTCAGAGGGGAGGGAAGGGACGTTCACTGTCTTCACGAGCCCATCATTCCCATTCCTGTCTCTAGAGGACCCAAGCAAGGCAGCACAAAAGCCTCCCAGGAAGTGAAAAATTTGTGCACTGAACACCATAGAATACTTTTGAAAGAAAGAAGAGACAAGTAATTTGAATGACACACCATACTCGTAGACTGGAATATTTAGTGTTGTTGACCTTCCTATGCTCCTAAAAGTGATGAACATATCTGTTGAAACCACTGACAAGGTCTCATGACATTTTGGAAATAAAAAATCACAATGGAAATAAAAAATCCTCAAATACTAAAACTTATGCAACTGAAGAGAAATCCAAAGAGCAAAAACAGTCTTGAGAGCAAATAATGACAAAGGGGCTTCCTGAATTCAAAACAGGTAAGAATGCCAGAACAGTCAAAACTGTCTTCTACCTGCAGCTAAACAGGCAGAGAGGCCAATAAATCACAAGGATGGAATCTTGAATAAATTCACACATATGAGGCCAAATGATCTTTGCCAGGGTTCTAAAATGACCATGTGAAGAAAGGATGGTCTCCTCAACAATCAGCAGAAAGGTAAGCTGATGGAATGAGAAGAAGTATCTGCAAACTTTGTATCTGCATAATGGGCCAATATTCAGAATATATAGCAACTACTACAGATCAACTTCAAAACAACAACAGGCAAATAACTGACTTTAAAAAATAAAAGATGTGTAAAAGGCTTCAATAGATGTTTCTTCATAGAAGACAGAGAAGTGACCAATATTCATAGGCATAGTGCTCAACATCACTAAGTATCAGTGAAATAGAAACCAAGTCAAAAGGAGATATCACCTTTCAGGCTGTGTATTATAAAAAGAAAATAATGTTAAGAGAACGATCATAAGATCCAGGAATCACTCTTTTGAGTTTATGTCCAAAGAAGATAAAATGAGAATATCCAGGAGATATCTACAATCACATATCCATTGCTGTATTGTACACAAAATCCAAGAAAACTGCCCAGTGTCCAAGGGCAGATAAATCAAAAAGAAAATGTGGTGTTATACATACACTGCAAGGTGTTTCAGCATTTTATTTTTTTTATTTGTTGTTGTTGTTGTTGTTGTTTATTTTTTTTATTTTTTTTTCCATTTATTTTTATTAGTTGGAGGCTAATTACTTTACAACATTGCAGTGGTTTTTGTCATACATTGAAATGAATTAGCCATGGATTTACATGTATTCCCCATCCCAGTCCCCCCTCCCACCTCCCTCTC